GCCTCATCTCCATCAATAATCATTTTCCTGTCTCTGATTTGTTGTTTCAGTTTTACATATAGAAAAGTGGTGCCTGGAGAGGGAATGCCGCTGTTCCAGGATCCTTCACAGAGAGGAGACCTCATCATTCACTTTGACATCCAGTTCCCAGAGAAGCTCTCCGCTGACAGAAAGCATCTGATACAACAAGCTTTGAAATAAATACTGATCACATTTTAATACTTGTTTCTATCCTAGACTGATGATTATTGTAATCACTTTTATTTTCCATATACACCAAAGAGCAATTTGTACAAGATAACATTGACACTTTGAGTCAATAAACACAAAGGAGGAAACAAAAGGCAAAGAAATCGGTAAACATAATCTCTCAGCAACAACATCAGCCTTCCGCCGGGCAGCAATCACAGAATTGTTGTGCAGTTGTGATTTGCTGCCATCATGGCCCGTTTCAGCTGCTCGTATGTCACGAACATCACCACGTTCCAGGAGCCCAGGCGTAAGAAAGAGGGCATGAACCTTAAGAGGAGAAAAATAGTCATATTATCATCATTTTGTTCACAGCCATTCCTTTCCTGTTCATTTCAATCCTCATTCATCATTCAGACATCGTCCATGCGGTCAAAAATTACCCCTTATAAAAGGCAAGTGGTCCTTCTTTGGTCATCATGGTAGCAGCACAGTTGAGGGTGCTTCTGTACTGGCCAAGAGAAGAGTTCATATATCTTGTCTTGACCACATCGACAGGCGAAGCGATGACTGTCGTGCATAACCCTGCACCGAAGGCTGATAGAAAGTGGCAGGGCAGGTTGTCTGTGGAGCGAAGGCTGTAAATTAGTGTCCCAGGAAAAGAAACACTAAAATCCACTGGATTATGTTGGGTGCAGCCATTGTTTCACCTGTCAGGGGCGTGGACTTTAGAAGTGTATCCTTGATGAAGTCGTACGTCACCAGTTCTGTGCAGTTGACTGTCGCGTTCCGTACAATGTTTGGAGCTGTACCTGYGYGACGGAGTAAAATAAGCCCATTTATTGTAAGAAAYTGGAGAATAACCTCAAGGATWCTCACAGCTATCATAAAATAATCTATACCTTTCCATAGGCCACGAATGCCTTCTTCCCTAGCAATGGTCCTGTAAGCATCTATGGTGCTACAGTAGCGTCTGGCGAGCCCAGTGGACCTGGCCTGTGCCTGGAAGCGGACTTTCACCACATCTGTGGGCTGAGCTAACACAACCGCCATGGCACCTGTGGTASATCCCGCAAGCAGYYGARTGCYRATGCCTACATCTGAACCAGAGWAGAGRGAGGTGATTKTCGCAGGACTTTCACAACTAGACCAACAATAAAAACACATTCACAGATACTTACGCTCAGAGCCTCGGKTGTAGAACTGCTTTACAGAGTCGTAGAGGCCAATGCGRACAGAGGCGAAGCTCATCTGCCTCTGGAGTCCTGCCACCAGTCCACTGTAAAGACTCCTGGGTCCTTCTGTGCGCACCATGGTACTGATGGTGCCAAACACACCTCGATACTTCACCGCTGACCCATTCCCTGCTGCTACAGATGCTATGGCCTCCCCTTGGATCTGTGCAAGGACAATGGGAAATGGAAATTCAATTAAAGAAAAGAAATGATAGGGTAGAGAGGGTCGTCCACCAACTAGATGGCCAGTAGTTCAATCCCTAGCACTTCCAGTCTTGATTCCAAAGTGTCCGTGGAATGGTGTGATAGAAAACGTGATGTATGAATGTGTTTTCATGGGTGAATGTTACTTGTACTGCACAGTGTTTCCAGTGGTTGTTAAGACTGGTAAATCTCTCAGAAATACAGACAATGGCCTATACACAAAATGTTACATATATGTGCACATGTAAGCTATATATGTTAACTTAGTTTTTGTACCTGCAGTCGAACTTTGGCTGTGTCCAGGGGAAAGGTGAGCAGGTCAGCGATACAAGCTGCAGTTCCTGCTCCCACAAACTTCACAGCTGCTGACGGAGGCACATCAGCAGGTTCAAATCCAACCATTTTCCAGAGTTATTTTGATCAACACAAGGACAGAAGATTGACTTTTGTTGACGGGACAAGAAGCTCCTCAATCTGCAAAAAACACCACATTGCATCCAAAGGTTATTGTATTCCACAAGCACCTTGGCAAAGTTAAGTCATTAGAATAACAAAATATACAATAGAACATTTTATACTTGATTCTAGGTCTCGTACTTAACTCTGTACACGATAAACCAAATAGTTGTCTCATGGAACATGCTAATTAAGTAAAAGGGATATTCTTAATAGTGTTATTGATGCTTAAAGTGAGACAGCTGCAGACAACACATGGATGCATCAACTCATTGAAATTTAACTTTTCTAATAGATTCTTACCTTTTAGGACAAAAACGTCTGAGATCAGGATTCTCTAAACGTGTCCCTCTGGCTGAACTTTGTCCCAGCTATAAACTGATGTCCATGATTTTCCATAGAAAATTGTTCTATAGTGATTGGTCTTAAGATCATACTCCAAATCCTGGTAAAACACATACTAGTTAACATAGAAATGGAACAAAGTATTAACAAAAATAACACTGTCCTGAAATGAAAAAACATCATATTTGAGATTGTACCGTGATTTGATTCAGATGTCGAGCAGCCTGGTAAAATGCAGAGAATCTTGAAGTGAAAAGATCAAAATGAATAACGAGAACTGACGCCTGGACAGGATGCAGACATGTGGGGAAGAGAAACACCTCTTTAAATACTACTGTGATGCTGTTACATCACTGCATGTGTTGCTGCTGCAGCCCCACCCCCACTGTATCTATGGGCTGCCTACTGGTCCCATGGGCCGACTGTAAACCTGTCTGTGTGACAAACAGCCTGTGGCTTGGTTTGCCTGATTTATCTTTTGTCTTCTTGGGTTTATAATCAAGCTCCCAGATTGTGTCCTCAGACCAACAACAACATCACAACAAAGATTACAAACCTGAGTTGTGATCAATAAGACAGGCTGAATATTTTTGAGAAATAACCATTTTATGAAAATAAATGATGTAGGACAAAATTTGATTTTCTTACTTGCTTAAAATAATTTGGTTAAGTGCAGCATCTGTGTAAAGGTTTGTACTTACAGCACAGCAAGCTCAGACTTGTAGAGTGCTGAGTCATGCTGAAAACACAAGAACATATAAGAACACTTGTACGTCGCCCAGCAAATTAGATCCGTATGTTCGGAACCATTAACATATACGACTGCTCTTCGTTGAAATGTCCTGTTCATGCCCTTTTGTTGCTGCACTGATAGAAGTGGTGTAACACTGAACTGTGTTTTTGAAAATAAATTCACAAACGGCATAGTTTGTATAAATCAATAAAGGGGAATGTACACAAACATGTTTCCATGATAGAGCTCTGTAAAGCAATGCAACATAAGGTTAAAGGTTTGTGAAGTCGTATAGATTCTGGTTCTTATTTGGATCTTCACCATATGGTTCACACTCTCAAACACTTTCATCAAGATCAAAATGTTTGAAAACACCCTAAATTTCAAAATGTTAAAGTAAGTGTAAAAGATCCATCCCCTGATCTGGATCCGCACCAAAATTGAATGGGCTCTGTGTTGATCCATACCACATTGTTCCACCAAGTTTTGTTCTGTTCTGTCCATACCACAACCATAGTTGTGAGGACATTTCGGCTCGTCCTCACAATTTCAATGGCTTGTCTGAGGGTTGAGACTTGGTTTTAGGGTTAGGGTTATGGTTAGGCATTTAGCACCCAGACCTGGGTGCATGTACATCTTGGAGCCCAGTTGGGATCTTTCCTCTTGATCCAGAGCCATTGGCTGCAGCGTTCTTCAGTGTGTGATGCTTCTTTTATGGTCTGGTGCAGGGCTTGTCCCTGGATCCCTAGATCTTTGAACAACCTGATGGTGGATGTTGCAAGGAAACCCCGGCAGCCAACCTCCACAGGGCAAACTATTGCTTTCCGTGAGAAAATGAAGTCACAGGTTGTTCTAAGCAGAAAGTTAATCCTGCTTGCTTCCATTCACCACAGGTACTTCCAGTTGATCCGTCTTTTCTCTATGCTCTCCCATTTCATTCACTGCCATTTCTCACAGAGGAGTTGATCATTCTCTCCATGTTCTCAACTCTTGTGATAGGAATGTCAAATATACTGTAAGTGGTCACATCAGTAGGGGTAACAGGCCAAACTGTAAGTACCAGAGCTTTAGTTTGCCAGGAAGCATGGACTGGTTCTTGAGGCCACTGTTAACATCCTGCTTCAGTTGCTGGACCTGCTTGTAGTGTGTGATGCTTGCATCATAGCATTATCCAAGGCTTTTTATGGGTATTTTAGACACTGCTGTAATGGGTTCTCCATTAATGTAGAACATATGGTCTGATCTGTTTCCTTTGCTTATTGAGATGCTTCTTGAGAAATTCAAATACTTTGCACAACCCTGCTTAAATCCCAAGAATCTTCACTTTCTGTCGACAACTTTCAGCATTTTATCAAGCAGACTGATTCATCCAACCATCCCATGCAGATGAATTTTACTCACACTAGTTAGGAGTTTTTAGTTAAAAGATAGACTGAGAAATTAAAAACTGGCGCTTTATTTTTTTTTTCATTTCACTATCATGTATAATATATTCTATTCATATGACTTATCGACCAGCGATACATCACATTATTTACAATCAGTAGCACATAGATGAACCTACAAATTCCTGACTACATGCAGAATATATAAGGGTTAACATTGTAAACAGTCCACAAGAAGACAAAGTAAAGGACATAGACATAATTACTGTTGAGGTCAAATATTGTCTGATCCAGTTTCTCTGTTTCTTTCATGGAAAACCTGCCCTGAATGCAGATACAGTTCATTCTTGTAAACATGAAAATACATCTTCAAAGCGGGGTGCTGGTGTGCCCACAGTGTCCCTGGTGATTCAGGAGTTTGATGAGTCACTGCTTCCTTCCATTGGTCTTCATAAAACATGAGCTCTTATGCATCAGCATCTCCTCTGAGCCACTTCAGTAATGTGACCTAGGACTCCCGGCTCTTTTTTTGTATTTGAAGATCTCCTTTTCCAACAATGGGTCACCACTGGTCTCAGCTGCACTGTGGTAATGGCAAGGCCTTTGTGTCTCTGCAACCTTGAAATCTAATGAGCTGAGGTCAAAAAGGCGACTCCCAGCAGGTCTGTGCCCTAGTCATTCCTCGCTTAATCTGTTCATACGACACAAACATCACGATGTTCCAAGACCCCAGTCGCAAGAAAGAAGGCGTGAACCTGAAGGAGGCAAATGAAAGAGAAGTTAACAAGTGTTGCCGGGATATTTTACTGTTGTGTGGTTCACTGTTCGGTTAGCGTGTCTTTACCCTTTATAAAAAGCTTTGGGTCCTTCATTTCTCAGCATGGTGAGAGCACAGTTGATCGCGCTGCTGTACAGGCCAACTCCTGAGTTCATGAAGCGTGTTTTGACTACATCCACAGGAGAGGCCACAACTGTTGTGCAGAAACCTGCACTAAAGGCAGCTGTGAAGTGGCAGGGCAGGTTGTCTGCAGGGGAACAGAAGCGAAACCACATTTTTCCTCAATACATTTTGTTATTTTATCTTGATTGCAAAATAAGTTACAATGCTTGGAACGATATGATCTGCACTTTCTACGCTAAGTCATTTTGTTTTGGCTCACCTGTCATTAGATCATACTTCAGGATGAGTTCCTTGATCATGTCATAGGTCACCAGCTCTGCACAGTTTACAATGGCGTTACGAGTGATGTTGGGCATGCAGCCTGGAAGAAAGCAGCACAGGATGATTAAAAAAACAGGAAGTTACACGTTAAGCAATAACTAAAAAAGCACTTTTCTATTTGAAGCAGTACCTCTCCAAAGGCCCCTTATTCCCTCATCTCGCGCAATTGTCCTGTAGGCATCCAGGGTGCTGTTGTACCTCCTGCCACCATCAGCCAGTCGTACCTGGGCTTGGAAACGCACCTTCACCACATCTGTTGGTTGGGCAAAAGCCACAGCCATGGCTCCTGTGGTGCAGCCTGCCATGAGCCGAGTTACAATCCCAGCGCCTGAGCAGAATACATCAGTCAAATTGAAGCAGCAGGATAGAAACAACCTTGATCATATATAACTCAATGATGTTCAGGTTATGATACGCACTCTCAGTGCCTCGTGTGTAAAACTGCTTCATGGAGTCATAAAGGCCGATTCGGACAGAGGCGAAGCTCATCTGCCTCTGGAGTCCTGCCACCAGGCCGTTGTAAAGACTCCTGGGCCCCTCTGTGCGCACCATGGTCATGATGGTGCCAAACACTCCTCGGTACTTTGTCACACAGGCCCCTTCGATTTTACTAGCCTCTCCCTGAATCTGGGATGAGATGACATTGAAGGATTCTCAGCGGTAGGTTAAAAAAGTACAGACAAAATGAATGTCAGGACATGTCAAGTCCTTTTTTAGCTTTGTGCAGCTCACCTGTAGTCTGACTTTGGCAGTATCCAAGGGAAAGGTGACGAGGTCAGCGATGCAAGCGGCAGTGCCTGCTCCGAAGAATTTAACTGCCGGAGAGGGCACCATGACGTCCATGGGTTTCGTGCCAACCATTTCTACACCTGCTCTGATGAGACAAATGGAAAAATCTGCTCTTTGCCCAAGACCTCTAAGTATATGACATCCCATAGACTCACAATTACTCAGCTCAGCAAGACAGACACACACAGAATATAACTTTTCATGTGTTCTCACAAAAAATCCCTTTTGTTTGTTCTGATGTTTACATTTAATGGTGCTAAAATCTGATTGTAGAGGTAATATCTAGGGAGTTGGGTGTATTGTGGTGCTTATTATTGTGCAAACCTAGAAATTAAGAGTTTTGATTTTTCTCAAGAAGAAAATTAACCTTTGGAAGTGGTTCTGTTGTGGAAATGTCTGGGTCCATATGCTTTATTTGAAGTAAGCCAGCCAGCACTACCACTCACTGTCAAAGCAAGCATTAATCTCTAACTGGTGATGGAAGAAGAGTTTTTGTTTTTGCAAGAAGTCTTTT